ATATTCAAATACAATGTGCTATTTTGCTATAATGGAGGTACTACAAATGCAAAGGAAACCTAGCATGAACTCTTGATCTCTGTTGGGAATATCAAGGAAGGGGTTTTAGTAGTGGTTGTGTTTGAGTTGAGACTTGGAAGCTGAGAAGGAGTAGGCAGCTTGACAACCAGCAGACAGCATTTCCAGGAGGAGATAATAGTATGAGCAGTTGTATGGCACTATGAGGACATGGTGTGTTCTTGGAGCTATATGTAAGTCAGTGTCATTAGTGGGTGAAAAGCAAAATTAGGAATGAAAGTAGATGGAACTAGATAAATTCAGTGTGCACTTTCTAGCCCATATGTACTTGTGAGTCACTGAGGAATTATGAGATGAAAGATCATTGAAAGCAGTGTGCTCGAAAACTTGTGAGTGGACAAGTGTGGGGATGGGGACTTGGAAAGATGGGAAGCCATTGAGGATGATGCATTAGTATGGAGAAGAGGGGTTGAGAGCTCAGACAAGGATGGAAGTAGTAAGGATAGAGAAGTGAGAATGTTTAGGAAAAAATACTTAGGAGGCGGAAGAATTGGCTGTTCTTTGTGGTATTAAATATAAAAGGTATGGGAGAATGAGAATGCTACAGTGCCTCTCAGGTTTCTGGATAGTGAGAGGGAAAACAGAAGAGAAAGCAAATATGAGGGAGAAGATGATGTGTTCAGCTTTGGATACATGTTTAGCATGCTTGCAGGGGTATCACTGGTGAGTTGGAGGTGTCCAGAAGGCATCTGAATATAGGAGTCTGGAACATCATAAGAGTTTCAGAGACTGGAAGTACATTTTTCCAAATTCTTAACAACATGGAGAATAGTTGAAGGCGTGGGTAAGGATGAAATGTTGAGAGGAATTGCATAGAAAGAGTAAAGGCTAAAATTAAGTCTTAGAGAATATTGAAACTTAAAGGAAAAGCCAAGAAAGAGAAAGATACTGAAGAGGGGTGGCCAGAGAAGCTAGGAGAAAAAGCTTTTCAGGCCAATGGCAGAATTTCAAGAAGTAGAACCCAGTTAAAATGTAAATGTATATCATAAAGTATGATGAAGATTTTAAATGTCTGTTAGAAGTCTTTGATTTCTTGGGGATGGTGGGGGCAGGACTAAACTGCCATGGGTAAAGAAGTGAATTGGAGAAAAGGTAAGATAGAGAGGGGACAGACATGAGAATAGAGAGTAGGCATGATTGGGTCCCTTCTCTGGGAGATAATGACTTCATTGTTCTTTAGTCAAGATATTTAATACATTTTCAATAATAATGTATATATTTAAAGTATACAACTTGATGTTATGGAATATATATATAGATATTTAAATGGTTAGTATAGTGAAGCATATTTACGTTCATCATCTCATAGTTAACCCCCACCCCAGTTCCTTTTTGTGGCAAAAGCAGCTAAAATCTGCTCATTTAGCAAAGATCCCAACTATAATATAGTTTTATTAACTGTTCTCCTTAAGTTACACATTAAATCTCTAAACTTGTTCATCTTAAATTTCTTCTACTTTATATTGTTTGACCCACATCTTCCCTTTCTTCCCCTGTTCCTCATTACCACTGTTCTATTGACTCTGCATATTTTTCCTTTTATGGGTGCATTATAATTATATAAAATAATGAGATTCATTATGCCATATTTGTACATGCACATAACATAACTTGATCAATCTCATTCCACAGTCTCCGTATTTTTTAAAGAGCCTACATGTAACTGAAATAATTTAATATTTTTCTGGCCTATTTCACTTAGCATAATGTCCTCTGATGTCATCCATATGTGACAAAT